GAAATGCGTCCACATGAAGTTCCAGCGATGAGGGATGGCAGCGAAGCAGGCGTGCCTCTCGTGAAACAAAGTGTTTAGTGATCACATTAATAATCAATTAGCCAGAGAGCCACCTGATGCTGCTCATTTGGCTGAGCCCCCAGCGCCCAGCGGCTTTTTGCTCTGGCAGCATCAGCTTTAAAAAATCTGCTCCCTGTTTATCAAGACTAAACTCGGTGAAATCATCTATCCTTTGCCTGTCACTCCATATTTTTCCGCTTGCTAACTAAAGATGCAAATGATGAATAAAGTGATGGCTTTGAAGCACAATTGGGTCAATAACTTGAACATTGTTCCCTGTTTCTCCAATTAAACCCCTATGAGAAATAGCTCAATTACAATTAGAGGAGCAATTACCCCCTTGTTAAAGGTGAAACAAATCATGGGTTTTAGTGGAAAATTCAGTGTTGTTCTTTCTGCCATGCCAACAAACGTTGTATCCAATGCTGCTGTTTTGATCCCAGGACTCTCCAAAAGAGGTAGTCCAATGAAATAATCTCTGAGTGTATTTCTGGCTTGCCATGTGACAGCAACATTTTCTAGGCAAACACTAAAATGAGTGCAGGGGGATTCATTTCATAGAGCGTCGCTACTACACCAGCAGAAGACCCAGCGCCTGTCGGTGGCCTATTAATTTCTGGGCTCCTTCAGGGAGATGCGGAGGTTTCTGTTGAAAGAGAAACCAATACCTTTCCAGAAATAGAAAAAAAGGATTCTATTTTTTGCCTAGATCCTAGCAAGAATTATTGAAAATACCAAGCAATACCATTTTAGAGTATTTTAGAAATTATTTTTCTTTCTTCCACTCAGTCTATTCTTTTAATTTTACTATGATTATTATTAACCTGCCCTATAGTCCCCAAACTAAAGTATGATAACCGTCAATGGTCTTCTATTCCAGGGTCTAGTGGATTGGAACCTTCAGTCCACACTGAGTTCTCTCACAGGGTTGCATCTTCACAGGTGACAGACATTGTTTTTCTGGAAAGTTACATTTCTTGAGTTGCAGCCTTTGTGTCACATCTCTCAGCATCTCTTTATTCCATTTAGTTAAATCAACTTGGAGAATCTACTTCTACTAAGGAATCTACAGTCAGCTGGTGGTAGAGATAAACATGAAAACCCCTTTCTGCTCCTATTTTACTGCAATCACATTAGACAGCAGAGGAGTAAATAGACACATTTGAACACAAGTAGTAGTCATCAGAGCTATATAAAACCATGGTATCTAAGTGCTGCCATTCAGCTACTCACACTGGTTTGTTCACACCAGGTGTTGAATATTGATTGTTCCGTATTTGCTGCTAAATACACTTAGTGCCCGCTCACCCCATGCGCAGCTGGCTCCATGGGATCCCAGGGCCATCTACGATTCAGCAGCTAAAGAGTTCATACTGTTACAGCACAAGGCCCTCAGACTCTGCCCTGTGCCAAGGAAGCCCTGTGGTTGTGAAATATTCTGAATAAAGAAAATAGATAAAGAAAGGCCTTGGGAAGGAGACCAGAGGAGGACGCAGCCAGGTCTAGGAAACACTGGCCCATTCCAGGGTGCCCACCAACATAGGTTTTCTTTATTGATGAATATTAGTCAAAATGGTCACCACCCGGAGAGATGAGGAGTGTGAGGAATCCTGGTTTGGCCTCTTTCCTCCTCTGAGGCTTTGCCATTCTCTTTCCTTTGCTCTGAAAATGAGAACTACCAACTGTACCCCTGGCCCAGACTTCTTCTTTGAGAGAAAATGTGAGGAGTGGCCTAATGCCCTGGGGTCATGAGGACTAAGTGGAGAACGGTAACTTTAAAATCAGAGTAAGGACAGGAGCACATTATGACTTGTAGGTATTTAACATTTATAAATTAGATGGTTATATTAATAATGATATATTCTTGTTTTAAAGCTCAAAGTATCCTCATTTGCAGCATTTATGGACTCTAACCAAAGCAACTGGGTACAGAACACAGGCGGGCATATTGTGATTCTTCACAGGCCAGAGGCTTCATTCCTCATACCCCACAGTGCCCAGCAGAGGTACCAGGGGCTCAGTGACTATTTGGAACTGAAGAGGTTGGGTTCAGTGTTCTGTGAATCAGTAGGTGGTAACAGAATACTAGCAGTAATGATGGCTGATGTTTCTTGAGTGTTTTCTGCATGTTTGCATATATTATCTCATTTGAACTTCATAACTGTGTTCTGGATAGATGCTATCATCATCTCTATTTTGTAACTGAGGAAACTTAGGTATAGAGAATTGAAGTATCTTGTCCAAACTCAGAGTTTAAAATGGTGAGTCTTGAGTTTACACCTAGAATTCTGTAAGAAAAGTAATTTAATATCCTGTAGTAGAGACAAAAGCCAAAATAGGGAAGCAAATTAAATTTTATTTATTACCTCAGAAATGCCTGTGGCATTGTTTGGACCAAATAGGTGCCATTTAACTTCAGATTAGTAGAGTTTTTAAGAAACTTATTGACTTGTATGGGAAGAAAGAAAATTCCTGCTTTCTGATATTCTGCAAAAACTGTACCTGACTACTTCTCCAGTGGAGCCAGACATATACTTATAAACCAACGATCAATTGATTCGATCAACCATGTATTCTTTGTGCATTTACTATGCCAGTTATGTAGAGTCATTTGCCTTGGGTACAAAAGAAACAGAAGTCGTTGATTCTGTGGTCTGATAGCTTAAGGACAGATTTTATTTATGGTAAAACATAAGAGCTTTATCTGCTGGTTTTTCTTTAAGATCAATATTTCATTCTATGCTATTTTTATACTTCTAGATTCCTCAAACAAAAAACCAGAGTATTAAATAATAAATACATTTACCATTAAATTAAAATAATCTTATGACCTTTTAACTCACCAAGTTACATTAATCCCTTTTTTAAAAAAATTATCTGACACTTTTGAGTAAATGATAGCTGTGATGTGTCACATTAAGGTAGTAATTAGCTCTCTGATCCTGGGACTTTAAGAATGTAGAAAAGAATCTACATAGGAGATTCTTTCCAGCATATGTGTTTGATCTCTCTTTTTCACAGAAAAGAAGAAAATGCATCATACACAGTTCTTGAAATGTCAGTGGGTTTTATGAATTTTGAGCTTGCCAAGTGTTAATTGGCCTCTTCCAAAGTGATGATACAAATAAAATTCACAGCCATTTAGTTGGCAGTCATGAATCTTTACCCCTTGACAAAGTGAACCACTAAAAAATGAGGAAGTTTCTAGGATCTTTCACTGAGAGTCTTTGCAGTGATCAGCTATCTTTAAGAAACATCGAGTAAAAATGAGGCTATAGATACCCATGTTACCCAGGATATGTTTTGGCCTTTCAGGTAGATTCATGGAGGAGTTGGCATTAGAATTTTAGAAATAGAGTTAGGAGATACATACACTGTTGTAGTAAGCAGGACGAAATACTGAATTAAGAAGAGCTGCCTACTTTCTAATCACAGTAAGTCGTTTTGTATGTCATTGTTGGAAGATCATTTGGTGTGGTTGGAAAAAAACAACTATAATCATGCAAAAATCTCGAATACAATGCTAGAGAGTGCCATGGAATGCCAGTTACAAGGCAAAAATAGCTCTCTGATTTCAAAGTAAAAAAATAAATTTTATTCAGAGTGTCACTTTGTGTCTTTTCATTGACATATGAAGGTATGATGGCAGTGAGAGAAAAATGGAGTCATTTTGTAAGGGCATCCCCTAACTTTTTCACTAATTTATTATTATTATTTTGAAAAGAGAATTCAGATGTTTAATTTTGTTGTCAACTAACTGAACTGATTCTCACCTTTACTTGAACCTTCAAGAGATTGAAAAACTGGAAATCTAGTATCAGGTACATTGTAGCGATTCAACATTTTTGGGCAATTTGTAAATTTAAAATAGTAGTATTTTGCAATTCCTTGGTAGAGATAATTCAGGGCTTATTTTTACAAAATATCAGCTGACTCCCATATAGGCCTAAATTGCAACAGCATTAGAAATGCCTCTTTCCATACACAACACAGTAAAAATTCCACAGGACTCAATGTCGTTTGGAGGCTAACAAGGGCTGCCAACAAATTGGCAGCTGTGTCATTTGCCAAATTAAAGTTTCTCTGGGCTTGTAGGACACTGAATCTGCTAGGACAATAGTGTTTGATGCACATTAGGATGTCTCCCAATAATCATAAGAGGGTAATAATTTTCAGAGTTTGAAATTATTTGTTAACAAATGAAAAACACAGCATTAGATAATTTTCCTCAACCGTATGCTCTAAGATGATGCGAGTGTCTCAAGAAGAGCATGGCACTCCCTTGTGGTCTCGCAGGCCCATCCCCCACAAACAGGCAGCTGCAAAGAATACTGCAGTGTATGGTGCTGTTGAAAAGTCATGTACGAATGTGATTCATAATACTGCGTTAGCAATCAATAGGCTTTGTTTTAGTGAAAACAGAAAATGAACACAAAAGAGTTTGATGGAAAGCTTGTAGGATGAAATTAATTGACACTTGTCATTCTTCAAACATGTTTTTACTCATGGTGTGTGAATATGCCTTTTAGGTATATGGAGAGTGCATAGGCTCACTGACATGAACACACACACACACATACACATGCTTTTTTGCATATTAGCAAAAATGACAACGAAATTGATGATGCATCTTTAAGTCGTACCACCTCTCTCTATGATAAGGTCCAGATAAAATAAAGCAGAATTTCTGAGTTCTTGAAAGAGAATGACAAAATCAAACCAAGCTAACTGTGGCTTTGTCCAGTGGGGCATTCTAATTGACTCACAAGTCATTAATCAGTTCCCAATCAATCTGTTTTGCCAGCAGCAGGCAGTTAGGACTCCATTACCAACCATTCATCATGCCATACCCTAATTCACTGCACCATTAGCCATGGCTTAGGCCTCTGTTAGAATAACTAAGTGCCAGTCTCTAAACGCAAAGAATTTCTCTTACTCACCTCAGCCACTGGTATCCCTTCAGGTGGTCGGCACTGGAGCAAGACTTCCTGCTCCAGGGATACTTCCTTTCCCAGGGGTTCCTGCTCAAATGTCTTCCGTAGATCTGCAAAGCACAGGTAATAAACTACATGACAAAACTAACTTATATTTATTCGTTTATAGAAAGTGTAATAGAAGTTTTCCAATTTAGTATTTTATGTGCCTTTGTATTTTTTTTAAACCACATGTCAGTACTATATCACAATCTGGGTGATTATATTCTGTGTGGTGATATTATGAAATTCAGAAGCTATTAACTGTTCCAACTTTAATTTTCACTGGAATGCTCATATAAACAATTAGTGAAATTCATTCCTTGCATTTCCTTATTGATTCTTGATAATCAAGGATGATGATTTCATTTTTAATCAAAGGAACCCCATTGTCATGATTCTTATACAGAGTTCCTTATGTACATAAATATTTTCCTCTCTCTTCACATTGAGAGCTATTAAGCATTGTAATAACTGAGATCTTTTGATCAATAACTCAAAAGCAAGTTTCCAGTTCAGAGTATAAAACAGAATGCTGGAGTCCTGAAAGAATGACTATAAATAACCTCTTGAGGTGCCTCAAACACAAGCAGGGAAAAGAGTAACTGTTGGAATGAGTCCAGAAATCTCTCACTGTGTAATTATGTGGCTATTCTTCAATTAGAAAATTAAATAGTCATTTCTGCCCACATTCACCAAGTACCTAATTACATATTTATATAGAGTTGCCATAGCAATATGAAGACTTTTAAAAGTTATTATTGATTGACATGAAAATGTTAAAAACTAGCTTGTCATTTTAAATACCAAAGTTAAAAAAGTAAATGATTCAGGCATAGAGCTTTGAAAAAAAAAAAGAAAAAGCACACCAAAAATTTTATTTCATACTTTTACAATTCAGCTCTTTTCAATAAAAAGTTATTGGAATTTTATCAACTTGATTTTAATAAAAAATCAATATCTCTGCCCTTTAAACTCATATACCTGATAAAACTTAAGAATCTAAAAGCACCATTTTAGCCTATTGAAGTAATAAGTGGAAACCCCAAAACTCTAGAGGTATATAACTGTAATGTCTTTCAAGGAACTATCAGAAAGTACCACTTAAAAAAATCTACTGTTACATTCTTGCAATTTTGTTGAATTTCTTGACAAAAGAAAACCTTCAAGAACTTAGGCATTGCGAGAAAAAATTAAATCTATGTGAGTCTGAGGCAAGACAAGTCACTCTGCAAATGGTGGCAGGATTTTTGTCAGAAGGGCTCTTTTCATGGATTATCAAGAAATGAGTATATTGTAGAAATGAACATTTAAAATCCAGTTATTAAAGTTGAAAGTTATCTAAATCATGTCCTTGATTGACATAGAAGGCACATGTTTATGAAATTACTCAAAGCCTCAGGGCAAAATAATAGACTTTGCAGTAGAACTTGATGAGCCCCGATTTGATACATATTTTGACATCCCACACATCCCTTTAACATCTCTTTTGGTTAAGCTGTGCCCTTGCAACAGAAACATTAAAAACTTTCCTATCTTTTCTCTTCTGATATGGTAGTTTCTCTGTTTCCACCTGCATTAACATGAAAGATTTGGTAGAACACTAAATACTAATAAAAATAAGAGCAGCAATGAATAAATTTCATGGGATAAAATGTTCCTGACAAAATACGCCTACTTTTTTAAAAGTATATTTTACTGATTATGCTATTACACTTGCCCCATTTTTCCTCCCCTTTATCCCCCTCCAGCCTTCACTCCCCACCTGACCCTCCAACATTCCCCGCATCTTAGTTCATGTCTGTGGGTGTGCATATAAGTTCTTTGGCTTCTCTATTTTCCATACTATTCTTAACCTCCCCTGGCTAATTTTGTACCTACCATTTATGCTTCTTACTCCTTGTGCCTTTCTCCTCATCCTCCCCTTCCCCATCTTTGCTGATAACCCTTCATGTGATCTCCATTTCTGTGACCCTGTTCTAGTTGTTTGCTTAGTTTTTGTTTTTGTTTTTTAGGTTCACTTGTTGATAGTTGTGAGCATGTTGTCATTTTACTGTTCATAGTTTTTTATCTTTTTCTTAGATAAGTCCCTTTAACATTTCATATAATAAGGCCTTGGTGATGATGAACTCCTTTAACTTGACTTTATCTGGGAAGCACTTTATCGGCCCTTCCATTCTAAATGATAGCTTTGCTGGATGGAGTAATCTTGGTTGTAGGTCCTTGCCTTTCATCACTTTGAATACTTTCCAGCCTCCTCTTGCCTATAAGGTTTCTTTTGAGAAATCAGCTGATAGTTTTATGGGAACTACTTTGTAGGCAACTCTCTGACTTTCATGTGCTGCTTTTTAAGATTCTCTCCTTATCTTTAATCTTATGTAACTTAATTATGATGTGTCTTGGTGTGTTTCTTCTTGGATCCAACTTCTTTGGGACACTCTGAGCATACCAGACTTGCATGTCTAGACCCTTTCCCTGATTGGGGAAGTTCTCCTTCATTATTTGTTCAAATAAGTTTCCCATTTCTTGTTCTTCCTCTTCTGGTACTCCTATGATCTTGATGTTGGAATGTTTAAAATTGTCCCAGGGGGTCCTAAGTCTCTCCTCATTTTTTCGAATTCTTGTTTCTTCATTCTGTTCCGGTGAACGTTTATTTCTTCCTTCTGGTCCAGATTGCTGATGTGAGTTCCAATTTCCTTCCCTTCATTGTTGGTTCCCTGTATAGATTTCTTTATTTAACTTTGCATAGCTTTCACTTCGCATAGCTTTCACTTCATCCTCTACTTTGCATCTGTACTCAGTCATTTCTGTGAGCCTCCTGATTATCAGTGTTTTGAACTCTACTTCTGATAGGTAGGCTATCTCCTTGTTGCTTATTTCTTTTTCTGGAGCTTTGACCTGTTCTTTCATTTGGGCCATATTTCTTTGTCTTGGTGCACCTGTTACATTATAAGGGGTGGAGCCTTAGATATTTGCTAGTGTGGGGCAACCTGCATGGCTGCATGGTGGCACTGTATGTGGCAGAGGGGGTCTGAGAAGGAACACTTCCTCAGCTCTCAGCCAGCTTTCAGTCACTTCCTCTGATATCCACAAACAAATTACGCCCTTTTGGTGCTGATTCCCAGGTGGGTGGGTTTGTGTATGTTCTAGAACCCTGTAGGTCTCTCCAACAGACTCTCTTGTGAGACTGGTAGTTTCTTCCACTGCTGCAACCCCCACAGGTTTTTATAGCCAGTGTTTTTGAGGCTTTATTTCCTTGCGCTAGAACCATGGGTTGTGTGGTTTGTGTTGCTCCCCAGTTGTTCCTCTTGGCTTACCTGCATGCCAATATGGGACCACCTAGTCTACCAGCCACCAATTTACCATGGGTCCTCTCTGCCCCGGCTTCTCATCTCCTCCCCTCCTACTGGTATGGATGAATGTTTCTTCTTTACTCCTTGGCTGTCAGACTTTGATGCAGTTTGATTTTCTGGCAATCCTGTTTGCTTTTAGTTTAATTTGGTTGTTATCCTTATTTTTTGTTGCACAAGAAAGCATAGTGTTTCAACCCATGCTTCCATTTTGGTCAGAACCCTTAAAATACATCTACTTTTTAAAAAATAATTCTGAAAACACCCATCTGGTGTGAGGTAAGGTGAAGACATAATGACTGCAATTAGTTCTCAGGTCAAATAACATTTTGATTCACTTCTGGTAAAATTCATCAGCATATAATAAAATGAAGGCTAAGAATGAGAGAAGATAAAGCACAGATATATCAAAATAGTCAAAACAAATTCCTTTGATATTTGTTAATTAACTTCTTAAAACAGACACTTTACTAGGTAATTAGGATGAAGAAGTGAGAGATACAGAATCAAGATGAGGAAGGTGAGTTACACTTATGACAAGCCTTTGTGCCATGCTAAGGAATGGCAAACCCTCAAAGGCATCTAAGCAAAGGAAGGTGATCAGATATCATATTGCCCTCAGTGTGACAGATGGGGGTTTGGGAACCATTTAAACAGATCACAAGGGATTATTGTGTTCTGAAATACGCTAGTGATAGTGGACAGAAAGTGGAGAAAACAAACTCTAGAAATAAATAGATCACCATTCAGGAAAACCTATTTTTGGAAAGTTCTAGGAGGGAAAGATAAGACTGTATTCTTAGCTATTGCAATTGTTAAGTTGCAGCCATTATTAAAAAAATAAAAGTAATGAATTGAGCAGAAAAGTGGGGATAAAGAGCAAATTTATTTTGTTCCATATTCAGTTTGGTGTGTCTGTAGGATATGCAAACCCAGTGTGTCCAGATCATGGTTTCTCAGCCTCAGCATTATTGACATTTATGACTGGCTAATTCTCTGCTGACAGGTGTGCTGTGCATTGTAAGGTGCTTAGCAGCATCCCTGGAATCTACTCATTAGAGACAAGTTGCACGGCTCCCAATAGTGACAAGATAAATGCCTCTGGACAATGCCAAATGTCCCCCGAGAGGAAAGATAACCCCAACTTGGGAATCACTGGGTCTAGAGCTTGGAAAAGAAGTCCGAGTAGAAGATGTGTGCTTCATTGTCTAGGAGACAGCTGAAGAGCTGGAAATAGATGACATTACCAGAGGAAATACTGAGTCACAAAAAAGTGAGGACACCAACATTCAAGAGAAAAAGCTGTCAGCAAATTTGACATGGTGTGAACCATGAAGCATGAGGGAAAAGTAAAGACAAATGTCAGAAGAACCAAGAGAAGGATAAAGTTTTAAGAAGTTGGGAGGCCAACAGGATAAATGCAGGGAAAGAATCAAAGGGGAGAAGTTGTTGGTCTGGGAGATTTAGGAGTGAGCCAAGCTGTATTGAGAGGTGCAGAGGAACTGGGAAAACAACCATCCTGAGAAGGTGCTGCTCTCATGCAAAACTTTCTGGTGACAAGTCAGCAGCCCCATTGATGGGTGGTGGTTTGAATGAAGCATGCTATAATTCTTCATAGAATATGGTGTTGTTTTGGCACAGTTTTCACATTCCTGCCCCGTGAAAGCACCTCTTATGAGGATCATTGCTTCCTGCTTGGGAACAATGACCACCTATCAGAG